GTAGCTGCACTAACAGAAAGACGCCCTTTCTAATTAGGTCTTGAGCCCCCCAGTTAATTACCCAGCCCAGGACGGACTTGTTAAGGGTCACGCTAGCAACAGTGCACAAGTGGCTTTGCTGGGCTAAGGGAAAATCTCTGCCTCTGATGGAAACAAGGCTTTTGTTGGGTGTTTGGAAATCAGACATGCATGACTCATCCTGTACCATGCCCCTCATTTGAAAAGGCTGCAGAATTGAAAAACTTTTGATAGACACTTAAATACAGAGAAGGAGAAGGCACGCTTACAGGAAGGAAGAAACCCAGGCAGCTTTGGGCCAGACTCCGTTCTTAACAACATCGGTGTCAATCCAGAAGAAGTCCATTGACTTCACCGCCATTCCTCCATTTTCACCAAAGTAAACAAGACCGGGATTTGGCCCTTAAACACAGACTCGGCTCTTTTTTTCCAGCAGCCGCTGTAATATATCAGCTAATCAGCAATATGCATAACCAATATGTTGGGCTAATAATGTAGGTATGCTCTTATTATTGCATTAAGCGCATCCCTGTAATAACAGCCCGTTGCCACGTTCAGGGGGGGGAAGAGCAGCGTGAGCAATGAAATGAATTAGTTTGTTTCCTTGATTAAGGTCGCAGGGAAGTGGCAGCGGGCTGGGGGAAAAAATCAACCGCGCGCTGCATGATTTCCTCGGCCCTCCAAGAGGAGGGAAGAGAGAAAAAACTTCCTATTTACAAGAGGCAAAGGCCAATCTTGATATTTTAGGTCAAAAAAAAAAAGGTTGGGAAAGAAAATAGACATAACACAAAGGGAAGGCCGTGCCGGCCCCGAATGCTCGGGGTTTATAATTGTTATTATTAATAACAACAATGCACTCCCTCCGCTCCCCCCACTCGCGCCCCCCCCCACGGCCCCACCGCGCCGCCACGTGACGTGTGGGCTCTGACAATGAAGTACAGTAGGCGACCACTTGGAGGAGGGAAGAACAATGGGGCAGCCGACGTGAACGGCGTTTTGATTGGTATGTTGTGTATCCTGAGTGGCGGTTTTAATGGAATAAAATGTTCCCAGATTGTAGATGATTGAAGAAAGCCGCATAGTATATATTAAACATGTTATTACTGTTATTTAAAAAAAAAATAATAACAACAAAAAACCTCTCTTCAATCTCATCTTTCCTGCAGACTCCGCTACCCAAGAAACAAAGGAACGGCCAACTTTCTGCAGCAATCTAATTTGGGAGCTGAGAGGGATGCTAGCATGTGCCGGGTCCCGACGTTTGCAATAGGAAGCTTGTGTGGGCTGTGTTTAGGGTTGCTCTGCTGGAAGAGGAACAGGGTGGCTATATGGCTAGCTCTGTTTTCTTTAACCCAGGAAAGTTCCTTGTTCAGTGCTTGCAGAAAATGAATCTCCGGATTCTTAGCTGAACGGAAAATAATGTAATAGGGGCCGGCTCTGGTCCCGTTCCTAGTCCTCACCGGGGGGGCCTCATCAGCAAAAAGGCCAGCACGAGCAACATCTTCAACCTGAACGAGTCGGTTTGCTTCGTATCTCTGGGTTGTCTCTGTTATCTCCCCTGGCAAAAATGACAAGCTACCAGAGAGATGCTGGGCTGGATGGGAGCTCTGGGTTTCCCCTGTACCATACCCATTGGGGGGGGGGTCTCCCAATCTATGCCACAAATGCCTCATTCTCATTCCTGCTCAACACAGACATCCAGATGTGCTCCAGTGTCCCCATGTGAACTGCCGTGCCCCTTGCTTTCCAGGGTGCTCGGTGCAGACGCTGCACTCCCTGAGCCGGGCTGGATCGCATCTGTTCCCAGGACTTGCCTTCAAAGCCCCTTGCAGAAGGGCAGGCACCATCAGAGGCCATTTATGGTCTTGTGGGTTCCCCAGGGGGGTGATGACCCTTATCCACAATCCCCAGAGGACCCTTGGACGGTACAAAATGTCCCAGCAGCAAACTCCATCCTCCCGCACAGCAGCCCTGAGCCAGTACCGCAGGGCGGTGGGCTCCCTGCAGCCCTCTTACAGCCCCAGCCCCAGTGTACCTCTGCTGGGAAGCTCTCCCCTTCCCTGAAACCCCAGGCTTTCACAGGACCGGAGCCCACAGCCTCCAAAAGGTCCCCGTGAAAACCGAATGGCCACGGGAACCCGCTCAGCTTGGTGGCCTTGGGGACATTTCTCCTTCCCTCTCTTGCTCTCCCTTTCTGCTGTCGAGCAAATTGCTGCTTTTTAGGCCCCCACACGCTATCCAGACCTATACACGGAGAAGTGGGGCTGGAAGGGGTCTCCGGAGGCCATCTAGTCCAGCCCACTGCCTGAGGCAGGATCATCCCTATCCAAACCTCCAGGCAGCCAATGCAATTAAACCCCCTGCCATGCAGAGAGCAATGCAATCACCTTCTGCCTAGATCTCTTCTCCTTTCCCTTACCAGCCTTTCCCCTCTCCTGTCCTTCCCACCCCATCTGTGCCCAACGCACCCCAGCCCTCCCTTTGCCTTCCCTGCTTTGCTCCCTGATGCCCAGTCTCTCTCTCTGCATCCAGTTTTCTGACCCTCCTTTCCACCTCCCAGCCCACCCCGGACTGCCCCACCTGCCCACCCCACACGTGCCATGAGTCAAT